GTTGATTTCGAATTTCAGATTTATTTTGCTTTGCAATCATGTCATGACAATGAAAATCGGTACCCTTTTTTTTATTGAAAAACCATCTCAAATCATTATACGGGAGAGAACAATATGAATCCCATCTTTTTCCATACATATCATTTTGTGAAAAATAAAGAATTCCATTGCATATATAACATTTAACTTGAAGCTTTCTTTACTATATTTTCGACAACAGATAGATTGTTGTAAAGTAAATATCTTAGACTCATCCAAAAACCATTTTTCATTCATGTTCACCTTATAAAACTTGAATCAGTCGACATTATATCAATTTGAAATAGCTCATTTTATTCAGTTTTTAAAGTTCTGTGTTTTAACATAATTTTAAAAAATTTCAATGACTTGTTGAAACGAAAATGTGCACAACTGATAAAGAATATTTTTTGTTATCCTTTTGTTTTCATAGGATATTATAGTGACGACAATTCAGTATTGTCTAACTTTCGAAAAAAAACCAGTATTAGCTGCTGAAATTTTCAGGTTAGTCATTTCAGATATCGCTGCATCAAATGTAAAAAAAAGGAATAAATATTTTGTTTCTCAACTGCATCATTCATTGGCATAATACTCGATGATCTCATGATTTCTCTGCTAAATTCTGAACAATTCTCAAGTCACGGAAACTAAACATGCCTTTTCCAGGTCAACATATGTCATTTATTTAATCCTTAGGCCTTTGTTTCTATAAAATATAGCGAAGGAATCCCTCATGTTCATGAGATACGTTAGTCGACTGATGATGTGTGAAGTTGGTCAGCTATCAAGACGATATGCTTGAATGCATTTTTAATTGAAGGCTATTCATTGAGTGTAATGTTGACAGCAATAACGAAAGAAAAGAACGAAAAAGAATGCGCACATAATTGAAATTGTATAGTTATTGATAAAAAACGCATCCAGACGGCAAATTTAATCGGAGAAAATATTTCTTGTTTGCCATTTATGAGATACAATCTTTACATATGTTGTCAACATGTTGTTTTTCTCCATGGTTTAAAACCCACCATTAAGTTAATGATGTATGAGTACCTTCCAAATAGGCTGACCTATCCATATAAAAGATAATGATTCTCTTCTAGTTGCAACATAGTTACATATCTGTTTAAAAGAACTGTCCGTCTTTGTGTACAAACGATATAACTAGTCAAAAACAAGCAATACAGAATGTCCTACTCTGACTCAAAACAAGTCGATAAGATACAGTCCAACCTGGCAGAAAAAGAGCAGAAGAACTCAGGTAAAGTTGTTATTGTTGCCTCTTGTTCATTATTAAAAATGTTGTCCAACTATTTAGTCAATCAAAAGACAGAAATACAGATAATGCTTGATTTAGTTTTTTAAGATCTTGCAAGAGAATCACTACGTTGATTAACGTACACATTTGAAGTAAAAATATTTAGCAAATACCTGTGATTTCTAGATGAGTCAGCAGAGTTTAGTATTACTAAATAAATTGATTTTCTTCATATATCTACTGTGAAAAACATTTCTATCTCCTATCAACAAACTACATTGTTTCTTGACAGAGACTAAGATAGTTTCGATATTCTGATAACACTCTTAAATGCATACTCTTTTCAAATTTATCATAGAAAACACTGATGGAAAAGAAAAAAAGTTATTTGGAGCCGCCGTGGCTCCTCGAGTTAGTCCAAACAATGATTCTGTACTGTTTGCTTCAATGATTCCATTTTTCCCACATCTTCAAATGCATACCGTTCGCATATCATTGTTTTCCGATCCATTCGATCCATGGACCGATTTCGTCGGTATGATTATCTATGGCTACAATGGTCAAAGTGAATTCTATTTAAATGGCAGACATTACAAGGCAGGCTATATTCTAATCAAGAGGGCCAATGCCATAAATCACATTCCTGGTGACACAATGCACAAAAAGCTTTTCAGATGGTTCTTTGGTCGAGATTTGGATTCTCTATTTGTTGGTGGTGGTTTTGCTTATCAAAATGGTGAATGGAAACATAATTCATTTTCATTTAATACTAACCCTGATTTCTACCATGATATTCAGAAAGGAATGCATTATGTCGAACTAGAGTTGCTCGACGGTGCTTTAACACTTCTTTATATCAATCATCGATGGCGTTCTAATCCAAATCTATCTGTACAAGCGATTTTGTCATCAGGCAACTGGTCAAAATTGTTCAAAAACCAGTCTAGCTTTATACCTATACCATACTATTTCTTTTAATGATAACAGTTGTTGATTATGACCAATACTCTACAGTCGGCATTATCATTAACATTTGAACTTTTTTTCTTTCATTAATTTGAGAAATTGTTAAAAGCTGTATTGTTTATTGAGAATGGAAATAATAATAAATTTACAAAAAGACAAATGAAAGGATGAGGAACGGCAAGAACACTATAATTCATACTTTGGCATGTTCATTTTTGAGTATTGTCAAGTTATTATCGAGTAATTAACTAATTTAGCCAATGTTGACACATATAGCTTCAGTCTAAACTAAGATATATTTATAGGCAACATTGAATATGATCTAAACCTATCTTTTTTTTACTTGTAACACTGACACTCAACATTAGAAACATGACCATAGAAATCTTCAACTTGATGTTCTTTGAAAATGAGTAAATTTTGATTTTTTTATATATTCGAATATCAACTTCACACACATTTTTATTAAATATATCTCAACAAATGAAAGTAATAATATCACAAGCATAGATTGACCGAACTAGTTTCAACTTATAGAATTTATAATTGATGTCTTTAGAATATTTTCATTACTAATGAAACTCATGGTGAATATAAGTACCAGACAATTTTCTGCTTTCTAATCGTTTATTATTTGTCAACGCTGCTCTAAATCTAACAGTGGCTATTGCTAGTAGCACTGCTAAGTTTTCTGAACTCTTTTCTTCTTTTCAAATTGATTCGATAATATTTCAAACTTACTGAATCTCTTCGTTTGATAACGACACAATAAGAAATTCGTCGTGAAACTCGAATTGCATCATCTTCTTTGTTTTATTATGAGTATAAGTGTAGGTATGGCATTGTAATGTTTATGTTAGACCACAATAGAGAAAGAGAATTCCCTTCAAAACTTTATGAGGCTCGTTGGTTCTTTCGTACGGTACGTGTTTTTACATTGTATAAAGTTTTCGTATGCTCTAGCGTTTAATGTAAAATATTCATAAACCTATGTTCTATTCAGTATTATCATATTACATTTACTTTATTGAAACATTATTAGAGAAGAAAGTATTTTACACTATTACTGAATATCATATAGTTATTAATTTAAATTTGCAAAACAATCATCAATAAATTTTGCTTCAACTAGAGTGTATTTGAGAGTTTGATTAATTTGTTAGCCAATAGAATTAAATTTGAAAAAACTATATTACTAGCACAACTTCATATTCATATATAGTTTTACTGATCTTTATTAGTTTCATGTTACCTATGATTTTATCGAAATATTGCACAATAATAAACTTATTGTCACAAAATTTTATACATCATTTTCTTGATATTTAAATGAAAAATAAAACATTTCTCAAACAAAATGAATTTAAAGATATTATTTATTTTTCTCTTTTCTAACAAGGAGGATATTTGAATTTTAAATAGTCCATTAAACTTCTTGTTTGTGTTACATTAGTATTATATAAAATAGTTACATTTGAATTGTTTAATTGTGTATAATCTCGTACATATGTTGTTGTTACCACATTATAATAAAATCCACTTTTTAATATATCTGTTCCATTGAATAACCATGTTTTACCATCATCTAATGTTTCTACTCTAGTACAAGCAATAAACATTCCTTTTCCTTTTAAAGATATACCAGTAGTGAGAACTTGAGCAAGTAATTGACCAGGAACAGAAAGAACAACAATCATATTTTCAAAAGGTAATGTACGTAAAATATCATATTGTGTAATTGTTTCACGAAGAATATCATCGATACGTACTGTTCCTCCATTAATAATTGCAATAGTTGTTTTATTTGCTACTGTTAATTGTAACATACTTTCACATATTGAAGCAGTTAAAAGTGTTGTATAACTTAGAACAGATTGAAATCTACCATCTAATTCAATACCAATTGGAAGACATGATAGAATTGCTTTTGGTTCATAACCTAATGCTTGAAATCCTTCAATACCTAAATTAAACCAATAATTTGCTATTGCAGCTGTTTTTTTTCTTCATCTGGTATTTCAGATGTTACTCGTGCTAAATTACTATAAAATACGAAGACGTTTTGTATCTAAATTATATGCACAACGATGTATATAAACAGAAAAAGCATTAGAATCTGCTTTATAAATTGGTATATATTTTGTTCCTCTTAAATAATAATAATTTTCATGCTCATGTCCACCAATAATAAGATCAATTTGTGGAATATTTAAAGCAAGTTCAATATCTATTATCATATCTAAATGAGTAATAGCAACAAGTACATCATATGTTCCATTTGAAAATAATTTTAAAAATGTTTGAACATAATTAACTAATGATGATTGATTAATAATTCGAACATAATTACCAGTTCCATTAAGAGTTAAACCAATGAAAAGAATTCGAATAGTATCAATAGTTATTATTTTATGAGAAATACTTGATCCAAATATTTGATTATTATCTTGACGAAATATATTTGTACTAATCCAAGTAAATGTTGATTCATTCATTCGACTAAGTAAATCTTTTTCAGATAAATCAAATTCATGATTTCCAAATGTTATAAAATCAAGTCCAAGACTATTCATTGTTGCTATCATTTATTTTCCATTTAGACTTGTTCCATTAACTTTTGATAAACTTAAAGCTGATGGAGAAAGAAGATCACCAGCAAGAATTGTATAAGTATTTAGATTTTCTTCTTTTAATAATTGTCGCATATAAGCAACACGAGCTAAACCACCTTTACGACCTTTATCTTGTGGTAATAATTCATAAACATCATTCATTTGTAAGAAGTTCCATTGAACATATCGACCATCATTAGGTCAAAGAATAGGATAACCGATAATGCCATTTGCAATTGCAAATGTATATAATGAAGTTTTAGTATTATGCCATAAACTAGCATAGACAATTGTTAAGATAGTAAGACACACGATTACTATACCCAAAATAGTATATATGAGACCATATGGTAGAAATAACGTTCTCAATCTATCAATATTTATAGGTGCCATGAATACGATTCAATCTAATAATAAAGATGCAAGAATTAATTTAAATTAATAGATTACTATCTTTATTTGAAGATGAATATTGAAACAAATAGTTATTATAAAGTTGAATTTTCTGACAAGATGATACAAGAAATAAAATTTCTTTAATCTTGTTAATCATTAGTATTTTCTTAAAAAATTTAGATGATAGGTAATCAGCATTTGCCCACACACCGCTAGTTCAATGTGTTCAATGAGTGTTTCTTTAATGGCATAGTTGGCCACTGTTCCATGAATTTCAAAGGTTCCTTGTCCTGCATGAGCATAGTAAGCTCAGAGAAATCCATGAGTTGTTTGAATTCTGAGAGTTCAATAACTTATGTAGATTCCATGAGTGTGTTTAATTCTGAGGGTTTTGATTTTCATGACTTTCATGAGTTTTGATGATCGTACGAATACCAAGAGTATCCTTAGTTGCTGTGAGTGCAAATTAATTCGTAAAAATCCTTGAGTTCTAAAATCATGAAGAGCTAATAACTCATGGAAATCGAACATGTCGTTTTCAGATCATCGACTATCGCTTCCTTTTCTGTGGGTCTCTCTTTATACAAAATTGAGCGATAAAATACCTTATATTTATAAGATATATTAATTGATTGACAACGTGAGAAGTTGATGATGTCTCAAAATGATATGCTTGAAAACATTTTTTATAGAGGCGTGTTCGTTGTACATAATGTTGACAGGAATAGTGAAGATAAAGAACGAAAGAGAACATGTACAAGGTTGAAAGCATATATTCATTGATAAAAAATGAAGTAAGACAGCGAAAATATAATGAGAGAAAACATTTCTTGTTTGTCATTTATTATATACAATTTTTATATCAGCTATCAATATTTTTTTTTCTCATAAACCAATGTAAATATTTTTTGCATTAATATATATATCTGAATCACGTTTTATGTGCGTCTAAAATACACAGATCGAACATGGCATGACGGAAAAAATGTTTGATTGGAGACAGGTTCTTAAAAAAAATATTGTATCTGGACGTTTTCTACTCAATCTATTGAGGTTGAAAAATATATTACATTCAGTCCCAGGTTCGATCTTATGTCGTTACTAATATCTTCTAACGATGGACTTGAGCTTATTGTGAAGTAAATGGAATTTTGGAATTATGATATATCTACAATGATAGAAATGAAATTAGAATAAGTGAACTAGCTATTAAGAAGCAAATGTACATGTCATGAATTCCCATCTTTACAGATCCATCTATGAAGAAAGTATTTTCTATATGCAAAACAATCGTTTTCCATGGACAAAAATAAGTTCCTTTTTCGATTATTTCTTTTTTTCTTCCTCTTATATTACTGTATATACATGTGTATCTCATTGTATCTATCCACACATATTATATCAGAAACGTACTCTTCGCATGCAGTGTTATTATATATATATCATAATAACAAGCCTGGTACTGTATGCATGCAGTATTTGAATAGTCAGAGGTAAAAAACGTTGAGTGAAACTGCCGCTCCGGTTTAGAACTACAACATCATCAATTATTGTTAATAGAGTAGATATCTATTTGTGAAGCTTATTGGCTACAAAAAACAAACACATGTTTAAACATTTACTGTAAAATTGAAAATGATTAAAAAGGATATTTTTGTTCTTCGTATCGTTGCTTGTGTTCTATCCATATCACGCAAATGGGTGATTTTTGAAATAAGTACAAAATCATACGTAAATAAAATCTAATTTGTGTATACAAACATAGTTGATTCTGTTACCTATACAACGGCATACACATGTATATATAATAATCCAAAAAGAAACTTATTTTTGGTCATAGAAGAATGATTGGAAGATGCTAATTAATATTTATTGTTCTTTCTTAATCAATAATAACTATAAATAAAATAATCAAGAAAGATATTTTCTATGAAATTATAATGTTTTATTTCTACCAGACAGCTTACAAAAAATGCTACAATCATAGATACATCAAAGTATATGATTACAAAGAACATTGATTGACACATCATGTTCTTATATTAGATATTCGTGTATTTATCTATCACAGAAAAAGATATTAAATATCGAGTGTCAATGATTGAATCTGATTGCTGATACGAGACATGACATGTTTATAAAACCGTCTAAAAAGTAACTTATAGAGCGATCCATAATAATGAAAAGTTAAATCGATTGAATGATATCCATCAAATGCAAGTTGTTTTCAAACAATTATTACCAATACCAATAATAGAATGTCTTCTATACAGAAGAATCAAAAAAAAGAATAATACGATTGTAAAAGAGCTATATACTCATTCTTGATGAGCAGCTCGTTGTTGATGTAATATTTTCGTTTGAGATTAGAACAGACTAATATATATATATATATATACAAATATGTGAAGAGTTATGCTTGCGGAACTTTGCCTAAATGAGGATCAATTATTGATGATCTATTATTTTAACAAAGGATATTTTGTTAAAAGTAATATGTAAGGAAAACAATCAGATGAAGATATGAGTCAGTTGTATAATAGAATTGAGGATTATAGAATAATTACTATCACCGATTAACATAACAATAGATGTTCATTTACGTGAATTTTTATACAAATATCGATGTGTTATGATATGAAACTCGAATATTTTTTGATAAGTTATTAGTCATTTATGAATGACTTTCTAAATTTAACTGATACTATCATTACTGTGAATACACAATAAGTATTTTTTTTAATCATAGTATAATTTTGAAACTAATAAAAACATCGTTAAAAAAAGAACTAAGCTATTATCATGAAAAGAATACAATGTTTGCATCTAGAGCTCGTTAAAGTCATAATAGAGGCTTCTTAATTTATTGTATAAAAGAAAATTTATTGAACAATATTTGAGTACAAAAAAACCAAACCTAACAAAAAAAAAAAAGTTAATCAGTATTATTGTCATGATCATTAAGATGGTATCCATCTGAAAAAAATCAGTATGTCTTTAGGCATCAACTAAAATAATAGCGTGATCAATTTTACAATCAGTGTACAAAATGCCTTGAACAGATTTCTAGCTCTAAAAAAAAAACAAATGATTAAGCTTAAAAAGAAGATTTAATTAAAAATCTACTTTGATGTAAATAAGATTTGGAAAAAATTATGTTGAACTTTTCAATTCATAACTATGATTCATTTCATCATTTAATATTTTATAAATAAGTTCAAAAATTATTATTCTTTTTGACCGAAAGATTAAACATGGCTGATTTTGAAATCGACTAAAATCAATATAAATCCAATTAAAATGGGACAATCGATCTTAATTATCAATTAGGAATGAATTACAGGTAGACTTTATTTTTAGCACATATATCTAGATTTCTGCAATACACAATTGAATGCTCTATAATCAATAATAATCCATCATTGAAAATTTGTCAATATATTTATATTAGTGAGTCATTAAGTATTGTATTAGATCGATTTCGAGCTAATCTACGATATGAAATTCCAAAACAACAAACTATTGTTATATTTTAAAAGCATTTGAAAGGTAAATCTTTCTAATACTTCTCGTTTAAAAAAAGGTAGAGAACAGAACGAAAAATTTATTTTTCTTCTGTAACCAACCGAAGTCATCGCCAAGGTGTATTATAAACTAATGGCAGCTTAACAACAGAACAAAACATTTACAAATATATTATACATATGGATATCAAATATATTGGAGGTGATGTTCCATGGACACTTCCGTTTGGTGATCATTTTTATTCATCAAGTCAAGCATCATTTATTGATACACAAAAATCTAGTAAATAAAAATATAAACACAATATTATAGATGATATTTTTCTTTCAAATTATTTTCTATTTTAGATTTAACTTCTACAAGTGATTTAGATATAATTGCTCGTCGACATAATTTTGAACCATTATATTCAACGAATGAAAAACAATTACAAATTAAATCTCCATTTTCTAATACTAATACACAATGGATAAATACAGGTGTTCTATTTACTGATAAAACAATAGAATCCAATGTTACAGGAATTCATAAAACAGGTTTAGAAATTTTTCAAAAAAAAAAATCATTTAAAAACAAAATTTTCTATATATAGATTTTTATGATGATCATGGACATACATTTTGTTATTTATGTTCAATTAATCAACATCATCATGAACATATAAAACCTCGTGATCAATCACAAGTATAAATTTAATTCAATTTTAATATATGTAAATAAATTATTTTTAGCGACGAAAATTAATTCCATATAATAATCCAAAAGCTCTTAAAATTCGATCAACATCATTAGATCGAACTATTGAAAATTCATTAATATCTGATTTAGTATCTTATCGATTTATTGTTCGAACTGGTACAAGAAAAAATAGTGGTACACGAGCTCAAGTATAAAAAACAAAAATTTTATTTTATTATCTTGTTATTGTTTTTTTTTTGAAGGTATTTTTATATATGTATGGAACAGAAAAAAATTGGACATCAATTAATTTACATGCACGTACAAATCAAAATATTGAAGGTTTTCCAAGTGGATCTGTAAGAACATTTTGTCTTAAAGGACCTGATATTGGTCAATTACATCATTTAAATGTTAATGTAAATTTATAAGAATTTTATTTTCTATGATTTAATAATCTTTATTATTCTTTGTATATTAAAGCTTGTTGGTGCACGTTCAGATAAAGAATGGTTTTTAAAAGAAATTGAAATAACAAATTTAAATACATCTGTTACATGGTT